ATTATGTTAAGCGAAATAAGCCAGAAAGAGAAAGACAAACAGTGCGTGATTTCACTCATACGTGGAAGATAAACCAACACACGCACAGATAGAACTGTTTGGTGGTTATCAGGGGCTAGGGGCGTGGAGGGTGGGCACAAGGGGTGGAGGGATGCACTTATATGGTGACTGATAAACAATAATGTTCAACAAAAGTTTCACAATAAAAAAAATATGAAAAAAAAAAAGGCCATCTATAAAGGAATCATGTCAGAATGGCATCACCCTTCTCATCAGCAATGCTGAATTCTAGAAGCTGTCAGTAATTCCATCAGAGGTCTGAGGGTCTTCATCTCAGAATTCTATACCAAACCAAAGTACTAGTTCAGTGTACACTAGGTGAGACATTTTCACACACAGACTGAAGACATTTATCTCACAGGTACCTGGGAAAATGAGGGACTAAACCAAGAAACAAGGTCCCAATGACAGCTGTGCAGCAAGCCTGGAGAGGGTGTCTTGAAGGCATCTGAGAAAAGAGTAGAGATAGGATCCTAGAGACCTTACACATGTGATAAAGCCAGACAATGTAGAAGGGAAAGGGAATGCTAGTTCTCTCCAGTGGGGATTCCCACCACCTCCGGGCCCTACTCACTAAGACACACAGCAGCAGGGCCAGTGGGAGAGTTCAGGCGGCCAGGAGAGAATAAGACAAGACACAGCAGGTGTGATTAAGGCTTTACTGGGGATCAGGCAGGGCTGGGCAGGGACTACGTGGGCAGAGCAGGGCCTGCACGTCAGGCCAATATTGGTCTTCAGGGCAGTGCTGGGAGCTCAGGGACAAGCTCTACAGGCCAGGGGTCTGCCTAGAGACCTCAACGCAGAGCACCCACCGAAGGGAGGACAGTCTGGTTAACTTTAGTGCAGGAAGGATAACGTTGGAGGGACCTTGCTGAAGAAAGTAGGGAACTGAAGCTTTAAAGGGCCTGGATGAATAGGGACAGGGAGAAGGAAAGGGGCTAAATAAGGACTGAGTGCGGGTGGGTAAAGAAAGGAAGGAAAAAAGAACAAAAGGGGTGACTATGGGAGTGCAGGAGGGTCCAGCTGTTCTCCAGGGCCCTAGGGCAGCAATCATGGCACTGGCTCCTCGTTCCCTCTCCTGGCCATACAGGGCTCTACTTGTTGCCCCACAAGGCCATCTTTAGAAATACAGGGCTGGGGAGGAAGCGGCTGGTCTTCATGTAGGCAGAGATCTTCTTCAGGCCCTGAAGGTGGGAAAAAGGAGGTCAGATCTCAGGGTCTGCTGCCCCACTGGGGCTCAGGCAGCACAACTTCAGGCAGAACAAATTCAGGACCCTGGTACAGCACTTCCTCATGGGGTCAAGTGTTGGGGTAGAAGACAGTCTTTCTGGAGATCCCCACCTCTGGTAAGTTAACTCTTGTAATTTCCTGGAACTAATGTGATCTCTTAAAAACAGTTACACAGATGGGGACTCTACAGTGTGCAAGGTGCTGTATATGCACTAGGGATATGATATAGGGATAGAATCTCCACACACTACCCTACAAGACAGGTTCTACTTTCACCATTTATCACAAGGTACTTATTCACACAGGTTAAGCAGCTTCCTCATGCTCACACAGCCAGTAAGTGGGAGGGCTGGAATGCAGCCTGGCTCTCTCTCCTGCTCTGTGCTCTTTCTGCTGCACTCCCCCCCTCTCCTCACCACAGGAGGCCTTGTCCTCCCTGTCTGCACAAACATTCCCCTCTTGCAGACTGAGGCTCCTGGCTTCCCAGGCTTTGCTCACAGAGGGCCCCCTAGCAGAACAAAGGGGCTCAGAATGTGCCTGTGCAGCTTACAGAAGAGGCCACATCTCACCCAATGACTCAGCAAAACCTCAATGAAAGGTGATATGACGATGTGGAGCAGCAAAGCCAGGTCAGACTCGAATTATTTCTCTTAAAGGAGAATGTCCCTTTGCTTGGCGTGTTATCAGGGCCCAATCTCACTGGGCCACAACCTACCTCGCTCCCAGCCCTGCTGCAGCCAACTAGGCGGTATGACCTGCAGATATATTTGGGCACCATCTTCCACATAGGAGTGTCCAGTAAGTTCACAAGGATTCAAATACCCTGGCACTGCCTGTATCAGTGGGCCAGGCCCCAACGGGCCACAAAGTACTGCCCCAGCTGTCCTCATCCCTCCCTGCCAGTCAGTCATCCCAGCTCTTGCATAATCTCCAGGCCAATCAGTCTGGACCAGAACCAGAGCTGATGAGAACTAGCTGACAAAGCAGATTTTGTGATGGGGAGTGGGAAAGGAAAACAGACTATAGGCTGAAAAACCTGTTGCACTAATGTCTCAAATTCCCAAATCTGCAATAAAGCAGACTTTGCTGCTCTCCAGGAGTGGACCCTGGTGAACACTGATGAGCTGTGAGTGGAGTCCAGCCTGTGCTCCTCCTGCAGCCAGCTGGGCCCACACGCACCACACAGCCTGGTTGCTGTAGCTCTCCAACTGCACTGAGCCCCAGGAGGCTGGGCTCCAGGGCTGCCTCACCTTTGCATCCCCACTGTGCCTGACACAGTGCCTCATGCACAGGAGAAGATCAGATCAGTGAATGGGACCTAAAATAAATGTACTGCCCATCGCTGAGACAGAATCTTGGGTAAGTGGAAAGAAGAAGGAAAGGGAGATAGGGTAAGGCAGTGCCCCACAACAGATGATGTCAAGACACAATCCTTCCACAGGGGCACCCACATGTGGACTCAAATCCCAGCACCAACCACAGCCCTGGAATCTCACAACTACCCCCAACGGGGAGCAGATTCCTGCCAAGCTTCCTGGAGATCAAGAGCAAATATCTTCTGTGTCTTTGGTACTTAACATCAATCCTACCATGTCTCAACTCTACTAATGCCAGCTACATACACACTCCTGAACGTTATCCTTCATCCACATTGTCCTGAGCTGTGTCACTCAGGCTGGAAAAGGACCTGAGCCTGCTCTTTTTGGCACAGGAAAGGGAGAGCCACTGAATGCTGCCCAGAGAAGCCAGACACTGCCAGGGAGCCCAGCACTGGCTGTCCTTGAGCAAATTACTTATCCTTTCAGCCTCAGTTTCCTTATCAGTAACATTCCAGTAAGAGTGTGGTAAAGATTAAATATGATACAAGATATGTAATATCCTGAGCACAGATCTTGGCATAATGCAAGTCCTCAGTAAATGCTAGTTACTCTTCATTTTGGCTCCAGGAGTAGGAAAGCATCAGGGAAAAAAGCAAAACAAAAGGGATATAAATAGAAGGAGGATCAGGGAAATCACCTCAAAGCGGGCCATGAAGTCCTTCAGGTTTGGGAATGCATCCAGACACTTGGGCTCAAACATATGAAGTCGCTCAAGGAGGTCATAAGCAATGAAATCCACAAAAGTGATCTACAGAAAGGCCAAGGAAATGGGTACCAAACTCTGAAACCTGCGAAGAATGACAATTCCCCATCCCAAAGCCTTCCTCTTACCTTATCCCCTGCAAACCAGGGCAGGTTCCCCAGAAACTGTGAGAAGAGCTTCACCTTTTCAGGAAGCGCCTCCAAGTACTCAGGCTTCAGTTTCTCCTGAGGCACAAAACAGCTGTCACCACCCTCAGACACAGACTCCCTGCGCAGGGGGCAGGCCTCCCCAGGGCTGTGCACGACCCCCAGCTGCCACGGGTGAGCAGCCATGTCCCCTAACTGCAGCGGGTGGGTGTCCAGGCTGTGATTTAATCCAACCTGTGTTCATTAGACTCCTACTGGGGGCCAGCTCCCATCTGTGAGAAGCAATGGGAAGGCAGAGAGCAATAGCACACTGTCCCTGCATCTGTCACCACTCATCTCCAAACACCATGGGTCAGACCCAGGAGTGCTGTGGGAACCTGGCAGAGCTCTGGACTCCTGTCGGGCAGAATTAAATAAGCAAAGAACTAAAATGACTCAGGGAAAGAAATCCTAAGGTCTAGCAGGTGGATGACAGGAGAATGGATGAATATTTGAGTAGTTTCCAGAGAGACAGGTAGAATCTGAGAGGCTGAAAGGAAGGAAGGAGAGGTGCAAATGTCCTGTGGCTGACCCTGAACTGACTACTCAGCTAATGTCCTGATGCCTAAGGGTGTCAAGGAGACAGCACTCGGCTTACAAGGTAAACACACTGTGTAGGAACTAATTTCCACCCAGACTCTTCTGGATTCTATCCTAAGATTGGTGGGAAGTCAGAGTTTTCACTTGATGCAGTTTGGGGTTATGAGGGTCACTCTGGTGGCAGCATAGGGACCAGCTTGGAAGATCAGCAGCCTCAAGGAATCCAAAGGGCAAACAGGACCAGTGTAGATGGGACACAAGAGTCCAGTCTCCTTATCAAAACCCTGTCCAAACCCAGCCCACTGAGATGGGACTCACAAAGTCAGCGCTGTAGCAGACTCTGGCCAGGTGCATGCGAGTGTCCATAACCTCATTCTCCAAAATGTCCACACGAATCTTCTCCTCTTCTGTCTCCCCACCTACGGCCACACAACAGAGACTCACCCTCAACATCCCACCCCAGCCAAGCCCAGTGCATGGCCACCTGTCCCCTGCACCCCAACCCCAGCCCACTCACATAGGTTGTGCTTGCGAGCAATGTAGCGAAGGATGGCGTTGCTCTGGGTGATCTTGTGAGCCCCATCAATTAAGTAGGGCAGCTGAAAGGGCAACATGGGCAGGTCACTTGTGCCACCAGGCTCCCCTGCACCCCTCCTTGAGCAAGGGCAGAGATGAAACCTGGCACTCACAGTGCCTGGCCCCTCGTAGGCACTAAATAATTATAATGTAAAATGAATGAATGAGCTGGAACATAGAGCATCACGGGAAGGCAGTGAAGAGAACCAGGAAGCTGAGAGGCAAGCAGAAGGCACCGGATCCCAACGCCTAGAATCTGGGACAGGAGATGGAGAAGAGAACTGCTCACTTGCCCCAACAGCACCCCCAACCCCTGAACCTACGTTGGGGAAGTCCAGGCCCAGCTTGAATTTTTCATTCAGCCACTCGCTTCTGTCATAGTCGGGAGCTGTGGTGGAGAAGATGAGTGAAACAAACCTCCCCAGAGTCCAACCCTCCTTCCCGAGGCGGGGGAAGCTTCCAAGGAGTCAGTGGCAAGACTCCTGACTGGCTGGATCTGGAATCTGAACCACTAAGTCTCACATTCCAGGTCTCGGGATAAGAACACTAATGAGGCTCTGGAACCTACATGAGTAAGGCTCACACAGGGTTTAGGCAACTCTAAGGGGAACCCATCCCAATTACTGAGACAGGGGGTCCAGCAATCCCCTCCCACATCCTGCCTTGGCAGGAGAGCTGCACCCTCAGAGGGGGTAGGGAAGGGGCAGGCCCTGCTCCAGCTGCTGGAGGGCGGCAGAGGTGAGCAACAGGTGGCCGGGCCATGGGGTGCCTGGAACCAAGTCAGCATGAGTTGGGCAGAAGTCGGGACACCACGAGGACGCCTTTACCGTCCCCCACCGTGTACTTCTTTTCCTCATAGTTTGAGTCTGTGTACTCCAGGAGCAGGCGGATGGCGTGAGCCAGCTGGGACAGAAGGCCGGGGCAGAGGTCAGAGCTGGAGGGGCCTGACTGCTGCCTTTCTCTCCAGGTAACCTCCCACACACACCCCAGCCTCCCACACACTCTCCCACCTGAGAGGACAGGCGGCAGGATGGGGCTGGGCTCCAGCAAGCCCCGGAGGAGGAACCTTCTGCCAGAACCGGTCCCCAGCTGCGCAGCGTTTCCCTGCCCGCCCGCCTCCATCCCAGCTGCCCTGGAGGATCCCTCCCTCGCTCACCCCTCGGATGTCCCAGTAACCCAAGGTCATAGCCATGGTGCTGGTGCTTGCGCTGTGAATGCAGGGGCCTCAGTAGAGCTGGGACTGGAATTCATCCTGTGACCGGGGGTGGGGCGAGGCGGGGCCTGACGCGCGCCCAGCCCTCCAGGCCCCGCCCCCGCCGCGCCCGGGAGGCGCGTTGACGTCCGAGCAGACCCCAGCCCCGAGGCAGTGGGAGGTAAGATCCTGTTCAGCCAGGGTCGCGAGGACTCGGAGCTGAGCTCTGGTTGCTGGGTTGCGGAAGCCCGCCTGGCTCGGGCTCGCCCGCTTCCCCTGCCCCCATTCAGACTCTACTAGGTCCCAGGGAGTTGGCAGTGATGTTGGGAGACAGGCCTGAACTGGAAAATGAACAAAGCTCTCTCCCTTCTCTTCCCGTCCAGGCATCTCTTAGCTGTGTCCCTAGGCTGCCTAGTTCCCGCGGGCTCTGGGGGGCTCAGATGCCAGGTTAAGGCTAAAAGGTGGTGCCTGTGAAATGGAGAGTTTAAATCAGCACCCGTCACAGGAAGAGCAGGACTCAGCACAGTCCGAAAGCGCCTCCCAGTCCTTATAATCCGCAACCGCCACCTGTCCTCCACAACAGACTCTCAGTGGGGTGGGAAGGACCACCCAGGACAAGGGGCAGAGAAAAGGAACTGTGGTCTCAGTGTTTTCCTTTCAAGGACTTGGGAGGACCAGCCCTTCAGTCATGGGGCTAAGAATGATAAGTGTCGACTGAAGTAAAGAGTCTAGGTGATATCACTGAAGGAGTTTAGTCAGTAATCGGCATGAGGAATTCAAATCCGGTGATACAGTTCAGCAGAGCGCTCTGATGGTACTGCTCCGAGGGCTGTGAGTTTAAGTGCAGCTCTTTCGCAAAACAGTGTATGTACAGGGAAGGGAAAAGAAAAAACTGACAACTAGATTTCAAATAAAGGTATAGAGTACGTCTGGGCTTTTCTCTAGGTTGTACATTGAAGGTAACATAAACAAGAATTTCTTGGTTATACATCAAACAAGTTCAGAGACGTTGACGTTTTCTATGTGTGGAGGGAGACAAGGACCAGGGTCGATAATTATTTCCTCAATCTCTAGAAAATGCAGCTGAGAAACGTGAGAGGAAGGTACCCCTTTATCTTTTTGTGTTGTGGATCTGTCCAGCTGGTGTCTTCAGTCATGAGGTGTGTGGTTACAAGGTCATTTTGACACAGGCTGAAGGTGGCCTGCACTGCTGCTTCACAGTACAGCACGGATTTTATTGTACTGACTTAAAGCCTGTGCAGTTTGCTTGCTAGATTCACCTGTTAGACCACGGAGAGGGGTCCCAAAAATCTGTCCACATAAGGATCAAATGTAAATTAATCAATTATCTTTATGGGCTAACTTGAGAATCTAAACCAGATCCAGTCCCAGCTAAGAGGCAGGCAGGGTATATAGGTGCAAACCGAGATGTCCTGGCAGCCTGCTAGATGTCCTGCACATTGACAGGGACAGTGACAGGGACTGTGGTGGTCACGGATGGAATGTGAGTCGGGAGGAAAGAGCTGCCTTCTGAGGGTCAAATGTCTGTCCTGCTGCAGAGGGTGGCCAGATGGGGGTAGACAGCCAGGAGCCTGCAGTGCTCCCCACAGGACCACAGTCAGGGTGGGCCCTGTGGATCCTTGGCTGTCCAGGGCCACAGATTCACTACTTCGAGCCCTGACACTGGCTTCTGACCCGTGTGTGGCTGGGTATGAGAGGGTGGCAAGGATGGACTTGGAAGTCTCTCTGTGATCTGTGGCACAACCTCCACAAGAACAAGGTCCTACCTGCCAGCTTTCCTCTTTGACGGTAGAAGACTATTACAAAACTAGGAGAATAGAACATAGTTTGGCCTGTGGTTCATTTTCCTTTGTTTAAAAGATATTACAAGGTTTAGTGGATATGTGAAAACAGATAAGTGGACCTTTAAAAAAAATGAGTATATGGGCCAGCCCAGTGGCGTAGCGATTAAGTTCGCGGGCTCCGCTTTGGTGGCCCGGGGTTTGCAGGTTGAGATCCTGGGCATGGACCTACACACCACTCATCAAACCATGCTGTGGAGGTGTCCCACATACAAAATAGAGGAAGATGGGCACAGATGTTAGCTCAGGGCCAATCTTCCGCACCAAAAAAAAAAAATGAGTTTACAAATTAAAGTGCAAGGTTGATGCACTACAGAAAACTAAGTTTTAAAATTAGGTAACACTTGTTAGGATAGAAAGGTATGAACCCTGTATTCAATAATGGTTTCAGACCACCAAGATAAAGTGTAGAGTAGGGGTAGAGGAGGACACAGACTTGACCTAATTGCTATTGGGCAAATCCAGATCTGATTAAGTAGGAATATGACAATTAGCATTGAACGGAAGAGTTTTCTGAAGTCCATCATGATGGGCCCCTCTTATTCTCTGCTTCCAAGTCTTGAGTTACTATGTAATGACACGCTGGTCTCTGTGTGTCTGTCATCAGTAAAGATTTCCTCATCATGCCACACAAGTCAGGAAAATGCAGGCTAAGAAAGTGGGATGACGGTGACTCTGAAAGTGGGGTCACCAGAGCGATGGAGACAAGAGCCAATCCAGGAATTGACTTTAGTTTGCTGATATCAGTGTTTAGTATGAAAGCCTTATTAGGCAACATCTCTAGGGAATCCTCTCACCAAACGAGGGCATCCTATAAGCCTTGTAAACAAATGCAAAACAGCTTCTCTGCAAATCTGAGTGCAGGCTGTGTCCAACTGCAGTATAGGGCTCACCTGTATTCCCTTTGTCCACCTCCCATTCCCCTACCGTTTTACATAGGGTGAATTGGGAGTCAATGACAGTATACTTTAGACTGTCATTTTAAACATATCCATCTGAATGTTACCCAGAGAGCCCAGACTTGGAACTGGGTACACTAGTTGATGACACTTTAAGTCGTTCTTGTTTTGGGCAAAGAGGGGCGGTGTGTTGTGTTTATACAGGGGATGGTTGCATTACGTTAGGAGGAGCATTTCATGGTGGTGGCTGTAGTAATGGTTGTTTGGAAATGCACATATGAAAAAGAATATGTTTATGTCAGGCATCTATCCTCTGCATCTTTGAAACATCCTCCTTATAGGTGGGGAATTATTCTCACATTTTAAGTTCCACCTCCCCAAGGTAGAGGACTGCTAGTTGACCCGTGATATCTATCTCCTGTCTTCTGTGGTCATTTCTGCTGTCATTTCTTGTTTCTCAGGCAAAAGATGTAATTTCCAATGAGTTTCAACCCAATGAGATATAAGTAGAAGAGTTGTGGGGCCGGTCCCGTGGCTTAGTGGTTAAGCGTGCGCGCTCCGCTGCTGGTGGCCCAGGTTCGGATCCCGGGTGAGCACCGACGCACCGCTCCTCCGGCCATGCTGAGGCCGTGTCCCACATGCAGCAACTAGAAGGATGTGCAGCTATGACAGACAACTATCTACTGGGGCTTTGGGGGAAAAATAAATAAATAAAATCTTTAAAAAAAAAAAAAAAAAAGAAGAGTTGTATGTTACTTCCAGGAAGTTTCCATAAGAGGGAAAGAACAACCCTGTTCCTCTTTCTCCCCCATGCTGTTTGGAACTCAGGTATGATGGGGCTCTAGTGGCCATTTCAGACTATGAGGTGACACAGAGAATGGAAACCACATGCAGAGGATAATGGAGCATTAAGTTAAGAAGCTAAGTCATTAAAGCTACTATGAAGCCTGCTTTACCAGTACTTAACTGTCTCCTTCCAGGACTTCTTGAACACGAGAAATGAACTTCTGTCCTATTTAAGCCACTGTTACTAATCAGTTATATACAGCAGAACTTAGTCCTAGTTCATGCACTCATTCTGCCAGCCTCCCCTGTGGCTGAGGCCCAGGCCTGTGACCCAGGCCCTGTTAATTGCACACCATTGTGCAGGACTTCAGTTCCGAAGAAGCAGGCCCTGAGAATTTGTTTTCTGGCGAGGGTAGTCGAGGAGGGATCAGGATTCTGGAGGCAGCAGTGGTGAGACACTCCCATCTGGTGCCATATGTCAGGGCAGGAGCTCCAGTGTCTGTGCCCAGTAAGGGCTGTGGGGCTTTCTCTAGAACAGTCTCACAGGTGATTAGGCGCACTTCCTGGTCACCCAGCTTCCAAGGCCAACACCCTGGGCCCTCCCAGGGATTCATGTGCTACCTGATACCTCTGATAAATCACTTCCTCT